AAAGTACTGCCAGAGCCAAACCAGAGTTAACAAGAATCGCCATTTCGTTTGGCGACTCACGTTTAAGGACCAGCAGAAGCAACAGAAAGAGAGAATAGTTAGTGGGGCCTAGGTTATAAAAAACACTTTATTCCTTTAAAATGTTATAACTTTTTCATTTTTGCTCCATTTTTTATAAATCATATATCAAAATTCATATTTTTTTTATCTTTCATATGCCACCAATATTGCATATGTAAAAAATTTAAAAAAATTAAGCTTATATAACAACCTCATGTTTTAAGAAAACCACTTGGAACATGTTTGGTAGCACGAAAATCAGCTGATTTGGCTGATTCTGCTGAAGCGGATGGCTGCCTTGACTGCTTTTGCTGATTTAATAAGAAATTATTTTTAAAATACATTTTATTAGTAAAATAAAGAAATATTATATGTAAAATAGCTTAAATGGTCATCTACAGTAACTTCAGCTAATACAACCAGAAAAGTAACTCCAAACTTACTTTTTCTGCTTATTTCACAATTCAGCGTGTGAAAGCAAAAATTACACGTTTGGTGAAAAAATTGGCTGATAAGCGCGATAAGACGAAAAATAGTGGCTCTAAACGGGGTCTTTATATTTTGGGATGTATTCAAAAGTTTACAACACTTTCTCTTTTGGTAAGTGTTTCCTACATACGGAGTATAAAAATACTCAATTATCCTTATTTTTTTTATTTTAATTTTTATCTTCTTTTTCCTACTTTTTTATTTTCTCTCCTACTTTTTCTACACTATTCAATTACCATTACTATTTTCCCCTTAAATATTGTGTCAAAATCTAATATAGCGATCCTTTAAATACGGAGAGAATATTTTGTTTAAGTGTTTTTCCCTAAAATGCAAGGTTGTTAGATAAGCTTCATTTTTCTATTTTCCCTAATATGCAATATTGGTGTCATATGAAAGATCATAAAAAGTTATGAATTTTGATATATGTTTTTATAAAAAATGGAGTAAAATTGAAAAAGTTATAACACTTTAAAGGAATAAAGTGTTTTTTATATCCTCGGCCCCACTAACTTTCTCTCTTCCGTAGCTCGTTTGCTCCTGCTATTCTTTAAATGTGAGTCGCCAAATGGGATGACGATTCTCATTAACTATGGTTTGCTTTTGACAGTAGTTTGGTATATATTTTTAACTCAACATTAAATATGTAAATAATTTTTTAATAAACATTATTTAGAAAAAAAACTCGTATACATCAATACTCATAACTCCGATGAATTTGACACATTTTTAAATAATAAGAGAGATTCACTGAAATTATATATCAACGGGGTTTGACACATTAAACCCGACGATTAGTACGTTGGAATGAGTTGGAGTATGTATGCGGCGCTACTAGCCTACTACATACTACCTCCGTTTAGATAAGTGCAACACACAAAATTTTACACTATTCACATGTTCTACTTTAATTATATTTGATTTATTATCTATTAAAGATATTTTTTTGAAAAAAATATTATTAAATTTGTCTCATTTTATATTTTCAAAATCTAATTTTTTAAATTTTTACTAATAGAGAGTTATATATATTAATAATCAATATTGTTTCTCGACAAATGTGAAATGTTGGAGAAAGTACTATCCAATCCTTGGGCCGCATGACTTGAGAACTTAGAACATCTTATTACCATCTCCAAATATCTGGATTAGATGTAGACATCTCGGAGGCGGGTCTTGAAAGCAATCAGAGAGACTATGAGCCACACACATAAAACAAATAAAACCATGTTTCTTGTACACACCCACTTGTACACGTCTCATATACGTGTCACTGAAAAGGTTATTTTTTAGTATGTGAACAACTTGTTCACATGCAAAACATATTGGGTAAACTCTCAAACATATTTTGCTTGAGAACAAGCACTTGTTTTCTATCCAAAAAAGAGTTTAGCATTCCATAAAATAAGGGACAAAGGAAGTACTCTTTTGGTCCCAAAATTATTGTCCCGCTTTCCTTATTTGGTAAACAAATCTATACCAAACAGTGTCAAACAGTGCAAAACAGTGTCAAATAGTGTTGCTACAGTGTCAACCAGTGTCGCTACAATGCCAAACAGTGTCGCTACAGTGTCAGTTTTTTAATCTGTGTGAAAAACGAAACGGGACAATAATTTTGGGACAGAGGAAGTAATATTTACTCACAAAAAAAGAATTAACCAATAACTATACGGAGTATATAATAAAAAAAGTAAAGATCTAATTAGAAAAACTTATTGAGAGATTTTTTTTTGAAAGATTTACTGAGAGTATACTACGTATTAACGATGCAGGATTAGTATTCAATCCTTTCCTTGAACCCGATCACATGTGTGAACACTTGTGACAAGAAGTAATGAACAGTTCTTTCTTTTCTTCCACTTGATGATGCAAGCAGCCCCACAAGCAAGAAACCGGTGAGTGTATATGAATAACGATTGGGATGGCGCGCTGACACATGTCCACTCCTCCAGCCTGGGAAAAATCTTGTGCAGTATGGGCGTTGGGAGGAGTCCCATTCAACATTTTTTCATGTTCTTCTACAACAGTCATTTTAAAAAAATGACACTCATCTCTCTCACGACGTGATAGTTAATATAGTCGGAATACTTGAAGTTACATAAAAAGGGTCAAATAAGTTCTTATTATCCGGCCGTCGCCATTTGAGGCGGTTTCCGGTGGAATTTTTTGAAATTTTTTTTTTGTGAATCTTATTCATTAAGTCTAGTTTACTCATACCAAATTTCAGCTAAAACTTCAATCGGGAAGGCATTCAAATGAATTCTTGAAGATAACTGCGCTTTTAACTGTGCCACGGGTAGCAAGGGCTGCCGAAAAAGTCATCAGAAGATTTTCCGATGATCAGTGACATGTTTTCACGATGTCCGCGGTGGCCATAGTGACACAGGCGGCGGCCACAGTGACACGGACGGCAGCCTCAATGACACGGGTGGCGACCTCAGTGACACGGGAGGCGGACACGTGCAACGGCCACACTGACATTGAAATCGGACAGTGACATAAATATTGACAATGACATCATGTTTTTTTCAAAAATATACCCGTCTTAGTCACATTTTTGTCATAATATAAATGTGGTCACATTTTGGAAATCAGCTTATGTTTAGTAATATTATGGAAAAAAACCCTATCTCTCATCTCCTCCAATCTCGATCAATTCAAACGGGGAGGGAAAGTTATTCTCTTTAACTCACATTACAAATTCTCCCCCTTGAAAGCTTGGTTCCATTTGAAGTACGTGAAGTAGGGGTGCAAACGAGCCAAGCCGTTCGTGAGCCGCTCGTGGATCGCTCGAGAAAAACTCGACTCGAGTTCGGTCATATCCATGTTCGGCTCGGCTCGTTTATTAAACAAGCTCGAGTCAAGCCTCTTTATTTTAGGCTCGTGGCTCGCGAGCCGGTTCGCGAGCTTTGATGTATGTGTATATAGATATATTATGTATAATGTATAATAGTTATATACTACGTATATAATATTTTTGGAATAGTTATTCTAATTTAGGGTTACTCAATTTTTATAATTATTATAGTATAATATAAATAATTAAATATAACATTATTTATTATTATAACTATTATCTATCTATGTGATAATCGTAATATTCTATAAATAAGTATTAGTTTTTTCATTTGCTCCCTGGGAATGAGGTTAAGTATAGTTTGTCATCAAATTTTGAACAAACGGGCAAGTAGGTGAGGTGGAGTTCGAATGCTAGGCTAACCCTACCAAACCTGGTTTCGAATCCCTTCGCTTGTTGGATTTTGTACTCCTTAGGTGTACCCTACTAAACTCCTTAGGTTTAGAGCATCTCCAACCCAGATGGTGGATTGGTGCTTAGGTGTACAAGCAATGGAGATGGTCTACAATTAATGGAGAGGGTCTATCAATCCCCAATTCCAATAACACTCATTATTAAAAGATTAACATTGCAAGGACAAGGGTGACAATTAATGGAGAGGGTCTATCAATCCCCAATTCCAATAACACTCATTATTAAAAGATTAACATTGCAAGGACAAGGGTGAGACCGAGGGTCTCAATGTAGAACCCCTAGTGGACTTTGTGCATTGCCACATAGGATGGACCCAACTCATTTCTTTTTGCATTGGAGAATGCATTTGCTTACAAAAGGTCTATTTGGTGAGGTGGATGGATATTTTTTAGCAATCCACCCTTGGGTTGGAGATGCTCTTAGGTCTGATTCCTCCATTTGTTTTTCATTTATAACTCTTATACTTCCCACACCGGAAAGTGATGAGTTGTTTGCTCTCACATCCATCTACAAATCACCTCATCTCCCTAGGATTTATGCAGCACCAAGCGAGCTTCACGCCGGCACATTCTCGAAGATTGCAACAAATGCCTAAGCTTACGAGTTGATCTTGAGCGGCTCGCGAGCTTTAAGCAAAGCTTTCGAGTCGAACTTGAGTTTCAATATTTAAGCTCGATCGAGCTCGAGCCGAACTCGAGCATATAAAATATTTTCGAGCTCGAGTTCGAGCATATGTGAGTTTGGGCTCGGCTCGGCTCGTTTACACCCCTAACGTGAAGCATTGTCATCCGTAGTAGTCGATTTATTAAACAAAAACGACAACGATTAAAACTATATCATGATCGTGAGAGATAAGAGGCAATTTCTACATATTACCTCATTGATCCAAAACATGAATAAAGAGACATGGGTCAAACTAATGACCTTAAACAAGCGCACCTAGAAGGGAACGACTTAAGGGTACCTCATTCACTTGGAAGAAACCATCTCAACATCATGTTGATGAACAATTCTAAATTTGATCGCTCTTTAAGGAAGTTTCTTTTACATTTCTTTAGTTTTTTTTACCCTAAAGATAGTACAAATTTTAAATGTGAGGGAGTGAGTAGTTGGATCCTGATTTTTTTATATGCAATTTAAGAATTAAGATGTGCATATAAAGAGTTATCCCAAAACAAAAGTAGGAAAATTAATTTGAGACAACTCAAAACGAAAGCATTTCTAAAAACATTTCGGTAGGAAGGGAATATTGCATATCTAAAAAGATACCCTTTCACATATACTCGTAAGTAGTCAAAAAAAAAAAAAAAAAAAAATACTCGTAAGTAGTTTGTTTCATGAAATAATAATAAATCCAGAGACTTCAAAGAACTTTTCAAGGCATGAGAAAGAGCCGATCATCATGATCAGATAATAACCCCGACATTGATAAAACATTTTTCTGAGAATTCTACTCAGTGTAATTCGTCATCCTCTTCGCTACTATAATCAAACTCTTCATCACTACAGTCAAAGTGGCTTTCCCGGTCGGGTTTAGGATTGCTGCGAATATATTTCATCAGCTCCTCATCTTCCTCGTCACTTTTACCGCTTAGCTTCCTCTTTAATATGGCTTCAAATATTTCGGGAATCGCTTCTCCATCCCCCTCAACGAGCCGCTCAATCTTCTTCTTCAACGCTGCAGCACACAGAAACTATATTCGCTCAGGAAATGTGTCAAGACAAGGAACTTGTAAAAGTTAAATATAATCCACAACTCCATTCTTTTTTAAGTAACAGAATCACTATCGAACAGATACAAAGAATAAATCAAATCGAATGTATGATCAGGTCAATAGCAAGTAAAAAACAGAACCGGAAGGTCCGTGAGAAATTAACCTTCATTGCTGAGGTCGGGGGCTAGGGACGACACGGCATCCAATTGCTCCGAATTTGGCTGTGGAATTGGGGAATTAGGGTTGGGATTTTCGCCGCTGAAGTAACGATTGTGGATAAAAAAGGAAGGACCACCGGAGAGTTGCTGTGTTAGGAAGTAGACAGGGGTTGGCTTATGACGGGAAAGGAGCTTAACATCACGAGTGCAGTGGCAAATGGTTCTGAAGATTGACGAGTGTTTCATTTTCGATCCACTGCTTGCTACGGGTTTAGGAATGGAGGAGGGCCTGTCATTTTTAAGAACATACTAGCCACTCAGGCTAACGCACTATACCATTCTCTTGAAGCCCAAATCTGAGGGGCCGTTTGGAGCACCCAAAATGGGCTTATAAGCCTGAAAATACTAAAAAATTACCAAACACTTGATGAATGGGCTATTTGAGCTGCTTTTTATGATCACCTAAAAAAGGAAGGATATGGTTACTTCTTCCGCTGCTTTTTATTATTGTACTGTGTCAAATTGAAAAGACTCTTTACCTAGTGTATTGCTGCTTAGTTCTGAAGAGGTTGAAGGTTGATGATGCTCCAATAAATACTTCGTTCCTTTTTTTTCAATTCAAGTGAATGATTGCACGTGAACTTTTTAATGCTCCAAATGCTTTTTTAAAATTATATACTCCGTAATAATGAACGCCATTCAAAAAATAAATACAAAATGTACGCATATTATTTACAAAAAAAATTATAATAATGTTGCTCATATTCCAAAAAAAATGTGTAAAAATCCGAGGCAGTGAAATTATTAAAGCAATCTTATAATTACCTAATCAAGCAAAATTAATTTACTAGCAAAGTTTACATACACTCCATATATTTAACACAAAAAACTAATACCCTTTACAGTAATTTTATACTCAATCAGCCATTTCAGCCAACATATCACCAAACACTTTCACTTCAGCACATTCAGCCTATTCAGCCTTATCAGCCGTTGCAGCCGTTACCAAACAGGCCATGAACTTTCAATTGGAAATGATCACTAAAATACTCCCCTAAAATACTAGTATAATCTTTCGAATAAACCTGGCACAAATAAGTTTGTGAATACTAGTCTCTCACCCGTGCGCTACACGGAGTAAGAAATTATGAAATTATAAATGAATGAGTTGTGTTTACCCAGTAAATTAAAATTCACATTCTTGATTCTATGTAAGTATACACAATAACAGCTAATTTGTGTATTATGTTTAAGTATGTACCAATATAGTAGGCCTACAAAAAATCAAGGTTGAGTGGCTACAATAAACATAACATGGTGAAGTTTTAATAATTCACACACAAAAATAGATTGTGTTTGGGATATATTCAAAACATATTGGGCATTTATGGATAAAGACTCTTTGATTTCGACTGGAGACTATAAGACAGTAGGAGATAGAGATTTGAGAGGCAAGGTAATTCTGAGACTCTCATGACTAATGCTTTTAGAATTTAGTGAACGGCCAAACAACAATGTTCAAATTAGAAGTTAGGAAGTTACAAATTTACTGATACACGATATCCATTTTTTAAAATCTTGTGTAGTACAGACAGTTTTACTTGAGTGTTGCCTTTTTTATTATTATAAAAGTTTATATAAATGGTTAACTGAGAATTAGTTAATTATCCAAAAAAAATATGTATGTTTTGTTGTGCAAAAGGATGATTTTACCTGGGCCGTAATCTGTCCCAAACCAGAACAGACCAGACCAGACTTGACTAGTTATAAAAATACAAAGAAATCAAACCAAACTAGGGTTGGCCTCGGGCCGGTTCGGGCCCGGTTCGGGCCTAGGCCCGGCCGGGCCTCGTTTGAGAAAAATAAGGCCCGAGCCCAAACCGGTGGTGGGCGGTTCCGGGCCAGACCGGGCCGGGCCACCCGGTTTTTAAATTTTTTTTCTTCTTCTCTTATTTAACCCCCTACCCCTCCCCCTCCACCCCAAACCACCCCAAACCACCTCAAATGGACCAAAATACCTAATCCAACCCAAAACTTTAAAAATTTTCAAAAAAAAAAAAAACTTAAATTCCGGCCTGAACCGGCCGGGCCGGTTCACCAAAACATAGGCCCGAGCCCGAACTGCCCAAAGGCCGGGCCGGTTCGACCCGAACCGCTGGGCCCACTGGTTCCCGGGCCGGTTCCGGGTCGGGCCGCCCGGCCCGAGTCCATCCCTAAACCAAACTAGCAAATTACAGTCCAAGTAAAAACATTCTTAATGTATAATTTGAGGTATGCATAAACTGTTGCAATTGTTAGCCGGCAATATTGTATCTAACATTCATCATCATCATCATCACCCCAGTGTCACAACTCAAACCAACTCAAGAACATATCTCTTAACAAATACCCCGAGTGATTGTACCATAAGTAAATGCCTAGTCCAAAAGTGACATGAAATTACATAGTAAAGTTATTGTCCTTTAACTTCCATCTCAAACACCAATAAATAAAGCATAATGGTTTTTGCAACCTTAATACTCCGTACTTTTTTTGCATTTTGCTAGTGGATTTTTGAGTAGACGATCTTCCATCATATCCTTCTACATTATTCGACAAACATCACTTCGAAATCGGGGCAGCAGTCATGGCAACACCAATAGTCTGAAATTCAATGGCAAGACCTCACAAAAAATGATTTGTCACTTTGTTAAAGTCTCCTTCGCTTATATCAATGCTAAACAAAAGATATAGGCCCTCTAAATCACCAAACTATTTTGATAGCGTTGTCTCATGAATGTCACTCTGAAAGACCAACAATATAAAATTTGTTAAGACACACACAGACATATAGATAACATATTATGATAGTGATTTAAAACAACTACTATGGATTATGCTACTGAACTCAATTGTTCTCAGATTGTCCTTCAGTTTTGTTCAACAATTGACGCCGGTCGTGATCCCACAAGCACAATAAAACAAAGCCTGGAGAATGTTTCACATTGACATTAATCTTATATCGATGTATTCCCAGACCGAATACTTCATTGCATTTAGTGCACTTGTACTTGTCGCTATAATTAAAGGCATTTTTAGTGCAAGACTCTTTTATCCATCCTTGATAGGATCAGGTTCTTCGATTGAGAATAGTTGTGGTTTTATAAATGAAAAAATCCAACATCGAGACCTCTCAGTTATTTTGACAATTAAAAAATATTTGAAACAATGTATATGAGGAACTAAACATGAGTCAAATTCAAATAGCCTAACCTTTGTAATTGAAAGAAGTTCAGACAGACAGACACCGAGTTAAACAGAATTATACGTAGTATTCCTCAAAACCTGTGCATATCCCCTCCCCCGGAGTGTTTGACGGAAAAGAGCACATTTTTTACATTGCATTCCAAAAAGTGCAATTTTTTTACGTTTTCTGAGAGAGTGCAAAACGGAGTTGGCAGATCCGAATTCATCTTGTCAGTACGAAATTTGTTTTCGGAGTTACCAACCTCGAAAATGGACTCCGAAAATTATGGTGAGAGGCCATTTTCGGAGTTGGCATATCCGAAAGTAGGAGTATTTTTTTGTTGTCTACGAATTGTTTGTTGTGTTTGGTTTTGTGTTTTGAATTTTTTTTATAATTGTTGTTCTATTTTGTTCAACATAATTAAAAATCATACAATATTTGTATTTTAAGTTGAATTTGCGTCTGATTCCCGATTTAGATAAAAACATGCGTTTTACAAAAATTTGACCCATTAAAATAAATTAGCACACGTTTTACAAAAGTGACTCATTAAATGTTTTGAGCACAAATAGTAAAAAAAATTGTTACATTTACATTAACAAAATAATTTTTTGAACGTAATTCAGATTAAAAAACCGTACCCATTAAATAACGTGAACCCAGAAAAGATGATTAAAAGTATTAATATGTTAATATATTTACAAGTTAACCAATACAATATGAATTTCTTAAATATTTTATATATTTTTTAACAACTAATATGTAGTATGTCATTTTTTCTATTCACATACTTTTATAGAAATATTAAACCTTTTTCTACAATTATTAATACTAATATAATAATAAAAAAAAGATTACTACACTTATTACCTACGTACAATTTACTCCGTAATATCACTGAGTGCGTATTCCTAGATATTTTTATCTGATCGGGAATATTTTTATATGATAAAGTGTATTTTTTATCTGACCGGAGACATTATTGGCGTGGTTGGAAATAATGAGGTTAGGTGTGGAGTGGATGAGTGCGTAATCCGAGATATTTTATCTGACCGGGAATATTTTTATCTGTTAAAGTGTATTTTTTCTATCTGACCGGATACATTATTGGGGTGGTAGGAAATAATGAGGTTAGTTGTGGAGTGGATGGCTGCGTATTCCGAGATATTTTATCTGTCCGGGAATATTTTTATCTGATAAAGTTTTTTTTACCTGACCGGAGACATTATTGGGGTGGTTGGAAATAATGAGGTTAGGTGTGGAGTGGATGAGTGCGTATTCCGAGATATTTTATCTGACCGGAAATATTTTTATCTGATGAAGTGTATTTTTCCTATCTGACCGGAGACATTATTGGGGTGGTTGGAAATAATGAGGTTAGGTGTGGAGTGGATGGATGCGTATTCCGAGATATTTTATCTGACCGGAAATATTTTTATCTGATGACGTGTATTTTTTATCTGACACGAGAAATAGTATGTCATTTTTTCTATTCACCTACTTTTATAGAAATATTAAACCTTTTTCCTACAATTATTACTACTAATATAATAATAATAATAAAAGATTACTACACTTATTACCGACGTAAAATTTACTCTGTAATATTTCAAGTCATAAATAAATATATGTACACATTAATAATACAAATTGTATCTAATTATAAATAATAATAATACTAATAATAGTAATATTAATAATAATACTAATAATAATAACAATAATGAATAAGGAGGAGGAGGAATAAGTTACTAACCTTTCAATAGAGGGGTTGAGAGGAGGTTGAAGGGGGGCTCAGATGAAGGTATGAGAGGAGGCAGGTGGGGAGGTGAATTTATAACAACAAAACTATCCTCCGATCTGTAGCCAACCAATCACGAAGCCGGAAATCTAATCCTTTAAATTCGGATTTGGCAGATCCGAAAACAAGAAAGCCTGACGCAATACATTTCGAAGTTCAGAAATCCGAAAGCAGTAAAATCTTTTTGACCACTTTTTATTTTCGTAGTTGGGAACTCCGTTTTGGCTTTTTTTGTAGAAAAAAAAAATCGGATATGCCCTATTTGGAAACACCTGCTACCTATGTAGCACTGATACCGGTACGCGGAAACGCGGAAACGGGTACGGGGATACGTCAAAACAAAAAAAAAGTAGGATACGGATACGGGGCCATATTTATAAATATTA